CCCTAGGGTCACGTCGGCATTTGTCATCGTATATGCCTGGCCCTTAAGTGGTACGTGCAATGGGAAAAAACAAACGAATAATTTATAGACAATAATATCACATGTATAACCAAGGTAGCATTCGAGATTGATTGATGCAAAGAGATTTTTCGCGGATCAAGTTGAATAAAATGCGAGAGAAAAAAATGTAAACGTCATTGCTTGATTTTCAGGCTTCTTATATTGATGAGAGCAGGGCAGGCGATGCGCAGTTATCCGTTAATTAGCAGGTCATTAGCATGAATGATCATCCGGCCTCGTTGAAGTGAAACAATGCGCAACAAATCAGCGTCCGATGTTAACGAGAGCTACTATATACCCAATACAGTGCCCAGTGCTTATATACATTCGAAAGATTCGTATTTCGAGACCAAGAGCGACATTATATTACAAATCGCTACGGCCTTTCCAATGCTAGAGTTATACGTAGGAAAAGACACTGGCAAAAATTCAGTGATTAATGGAGCTAATTTTTCTGCTGAGAATTGAATATTAATCTCTGGAACTGTTGAAGTGAAAGGTGACGAAGAAAATAAAAAATGAGGAATTTGGAGTTGAAACGAAAAGATAAGGATCGTGCCAAAGCTTTTGAATCTGGAATATTTCCTTTCACACGTCATTAGAGATCGCCCTTTGTTTTGCCGAAGCTTGATTGAAAAAAAAAACGAGACATACAAATCTAATTTTTCTTTAAAAATTTAAAAATATCAATTAAAATCAAACGACGGTCGTGCGCTTTTTTCATGACAAAGAAAATCAGAAAAATTGGCATTAGTTGATGTCAGCATAAAACACAGTGAGCTTTAATATCTTCACTCGAATGAAGTGCAACGATTACGTGATAAATCGATAAATTTCTCGGTCGCGCACGAGATACACATTTGTAATACATGCTCTATACAACTTGTATAACACAAATCTATAGGTCCATAGACATCGAGGATCGGGAAACACGTGAAACGACTTGGGAGAAAGAGAAGGAGTTAGACGCGAAAAAAGAAGAAACGAATAACGTCTGCAATAGACTTAACGGATATGATATCTCAACAAATGTCACGAGTATCTTGTTTTCAGAGAGCAAAAAAAAGGAAAATTCTCAAAACAAAACCAAGTCCTAGCAAAGCGGTAGCCGAGGCGGACAGAAGACGGTGTGTAAATACGACAACGCCAGAATTTATATGAAAAGATGGTTGCAACTATACTGACGTATTACTTTTGCTTTCGTATATCTTGATACCGACTATAAATAAAGTCAGTTTAAGAGCTACATATATTCGTCAGATTTTACACAAGATGATAATAATTGATATAAAGTAGATTTAAGAATAATTTTTTTTCTAATTCATTTTCAAAATAGTATTAGATTTAACATTTAAACGTTTATTTACATAATTTGTATCAATAATTTTTTATTGTTCCAGTATAACAATAATCTGAAATTTAATTACTCGGAACGCGCAATAAGACAAGCGCATAAAAATGTATTATCTATAGTTTTAAAGGCCTTTTCGCGTTTACTTAAGCGTATGTAGTACACCTATATATATGCGCGAGAAAGAGTATGTGCCACCGGACTTAAATGAGATACGCGCGGCTGCGTGTAACCGAGGTAGCCGAGCGCGCGAAACATGCATTCCACAGTGCGCTCGCGCGTCGCAGCTTTTTTTCTTTTTCTTTTTTCTCTCTCCTTTTTTTTCATTCATTCTTTTTCCCATTTATACAGTCTCGCACGCCTAACGCAGCTAAATACTTCCTTTTTTCATTTGTCACGTATTTATGCACGCAAGACGCAGTGGTGGTAGTAGTAGTTGTAGCAGTAGTAGTAATAGTGCAAGTAGTGCTAGTAGTAGTTGTGCCGCGAATGGTAAATTGAAATTTTCTACGCAACAAGTTATGTGTGTTGTGAATGCGCGAAGTCTTCTATCCAACAATTAGCCGCGGAAATATTAAGTCAACTGCGGTGTTATTTGTAGCTGCAGCGACTTTAATGATAAAACTCTTCTGGGCAACTCTTGAAACGCGTGCTTAAGCATAATAAGATGTTGCAATAATGTTGTATGGGTTATACGTTTAACCACGTATGTGTTTTCGTACAATAATTAGATGCTTATAATTTTAACAAACGCCGATTTTACCGAATGCAAATATATTGTCAGTATAAGTGAACTAACAAGGGGGAGCGATGCCCGCGTGTACTCTGCACAGCAACTCATGTTGAACCTCGAGCAGGATTGCTACAAGAGAGATGAATTATTAGAAAAGGACTCACCGAGAATACGGCAAAATTCGCCCTGCAGAGACGTGCCGCCGAGCTGGATGATTGCCATGGCGATGTCACCGAGCATGAGGCAGGCGACATGGTGTGTCTGGCATCTCCAGTGCAGCACGTGATGCGACGCAGGCAGTAGCCAGCTCGTGGCCAGAGTCGCCGCCAGGAACACGGCGCTTATGATGAAGCCTACCGGGTACAACGTAAAGCGAATGTCTCGCACTGGAACTCCCGATCTGCAAATATAAAGAAGCAAAACATTTTATTTCGTAATATTTGCGTGAATATTAAAATTTTTGCAGGTTTTCCGCCGTCTGGGTAAACATTAAATTCCTTCGAAATTCTCTAGTGTCATACAAAGAAGATAAATCTAGCATAACAATTTTTTGCGCAAATAGTCAGATTCTTGCGCGTCTACCTCTTGAACGAAATATGCATCCAGGACGCATTGAGTGTCAGCGAGTCGCTCATAGATTACCTAATTTACTCATTTCGCTCATGTGCAGGCTTTAATCTGCAACGATTTTGTCATCGTTGCGGCATTTTCTCAGTGTGGTGAATTTCACAGAAACGCCTCGTAAAAATGATGGCAACTGGGTAAATTAATAAAGTGTTCAATTATATTTTAAAGTTGTTGACCTCGACCCGTAATAATTTGCGACACGACATACATTTGGTCTAAGTAAAAATCCAACAAAGGCTAAATGTTATACAATAAACTCCTTGCATAAGTTTATCAGCGGGATATTGATGTACATTAGTTTTGAGAAGAGAAGAATCAATTGGTGTAGCAAATGTTAAAAGAGCGTGTCTGGTTTTCTTCTCTTGTTTTTCTGTTTTTCCTCTCGCTAACAGTCTAAGCTTAAAGAATGATTCAAATCAAAATTTTAATTTTAGTTCCATTCAAATTTTCGTGTTCGGTGAATGTAAACTTTGTGTAAACAATAAATATAAAATATATACGTCGCAAAAAAAATGGAATGGAGATTTAATCTATAATTTTGAGTCATTTGAGTTAGAGAGTAAGTGACGAAATGTATTTGCAAGCAGCTTTAAATTGGTCTTTTAAGTGACCACCAGATACTGTACTGTTACTGTGATAATTAATAGTGCATCTGTATAATATAGATTTACAGCTTGGGCGGTTTTTTTTGGTTGCAGCAATATTAGATTGCAAGTTCTAATGAACTATAAGGTAATACGATCTATTTTAAAAACAACGATTTTATATTTTGTAGACTGTAATTGGTATAATTGTGCAACCGCGTAGCATTATATCAATAATTTGAACTGTTATACATTTGTATTTCGACTTAAAAAAAAGTGCTGACTACCCGACGCTGATGACCGCTTACAAAGCCATTTCTCATAACGATTGAACAACTGCAGATTTCATTGTTCTTGCTATCCATTATCGCATATTAAGGCGTTACAGTTTTCCAAGAATAAAAAAGATCATATGAATTTCGATCTGAGATGGTAAAATCAATTTAAAGCTTATGGATAAGTTAATTTTTAAATTTAGTGTTGTAAACTAATTTCAGTTATCAACAGTGCTAGTTCTAATCGAGGTCGCGCAATTAGACTAAAGTTTATTTATTTGTGTTCATTTAAAATTAACAATTTTTTATACGAATAAATCGCTCATACGAATTTTAATTTTTTTAGAAAAGTATGATTAATTAGAAGATGGTAAACATTAATTATTTTGACAACAACTTGATAAAAAAAAGAAACTATACGAAACTCTATCTTTGTGTATATTATTTGCTTTTATTGTATACTTTTTGGCAACGTATTATTAACTTGTTGGCTATCACTGTATCAACATCACAGATTATTAAGTAACATAAAAGTTCAATCGTTTTTTTTTACTTCTTAATTAACAAGTTTCAGTGGCAAGCACCAATAGTTTATTAAACGCTAACTTGTAAAGATTTTCTTCTTTTCTCTTTCTATATACTTTTTTTAGCTAGAGGATAAAGTATTTTAATAAATGTGATTTATAATTAAAAATATTTTTGAAGAGGATACCGAGGTACCATCGTTGGATTTCGAATCATCTTTGAGCTTGAAAACAGATCCTGTATCGGATTGAAGGTATTAGCAATCAGGTGCTTTGAAAAACAAAATAGGTACCGAGATTTGTGGATCTGATGGCCTAAAAGACACTAAAGAAAGTTTTCCGGACTGCAAGAATCTTTGCGTTAAACTACCCATTGAGTACAATTTATGTCTCGAAAGCTCAGATATGAATATACGTTTCAATTAGTGAGATTACATAATTTTGATATACATACTGCCTTGTTTCAGAGCCTGTAATGGTATTGCATAAACAACATTGTTAAAGGCATGTGATTGATTTTGAAATTCCAATGAATGAATAAAAAGTAATTGATAAATCGAAGCAATCCAAAATATATCAAGAACAGGCGATAATGGTACTTACGGCACGTTCTTTAAAAAACTGTTAGCAAAACATCATGAATTTTATTATTCTATTAAATTATTTTAAATAAATTAAAGTTGAAATACAAAATAAACTAGCATAATGCACTAGAAAGAATCTTCAAAGAGAAAATGGAAAAATTTGATTTTCCTAGTCTGCGTATTGGCGCAAATCGAAAGCACAAAAATATGCTGTTGAAGCAATAAAAATTAATTTTTGCATGAAGCATAAAAACATTTTTGACGTTGTTTCAATGCGTGCTCAAGACTTGCATTGTACATGTACCACTGAAATGCATTCCAATGTTCAATTTGTGCGAACGCACATAACGCGCCCGATTTCGAAAGTCCTCGATACTGCACGTCAATGATTTTTATAGCTTTTGATTTCTATAGATTATATCTGTTATGTATATGAACGCACGGGGCACGCAAGCCACACACACACACACACAAGCATATATCGTTTTCGTGTCGGAGAAAAATTAAAAGAGCCATATTTTGAGATGATAATAGTAGCTGCCAAATAATAAAAAATGCAAAATTCCTCGAGGAGAGACGAATTTTGCGAGCTCAAATATGTGCACGAAGAAAAAGAAGGAGCGCAAAGCGTAATATCACCAAGTTATTATCCCCGCGCTCACACTCAAAAGTATGCGGCTACTACAAGTTTGCGCGCTGAAAATAAAAAGTAAAAGTGCACGTGTACAGCAGTGGCCGGCTAAACTCGGTCTTTAGTGCGGCCCAGTTTCAATGCGCATGAATTCAGCATTCATATGCATCTTCTTCTCGGGCTGCTGCCGCTGCTCCATTGTATGCGAGGAAAGAACATGGGGCACGCGAAAAACAGGTTGTGGCCTATAATTTTATATACATACGTGGCCTGAGGAAGAACAGCTGCCGCTCTCGCGCGCGCGCATCCAGCAACAAAAACATAAGACGCGAGGCTTATAATGGTGATTTAAGGGCGCAAAATCGGATTCGAGCGTACAGAGGCACACGTATATTCATTTTTCACATTTTATTACAATCAAGGAAAAAAGTCTCCTTCGTTTAGAGCTGGTGATAATGCACTATTACACTCATATTATATATGCCGCGCGCAATTATTAAGAGAGCAAGGAATGCCTTTATCATTTTAGATGAATCGTAATTTTATGAGTAGTGGCACACGTATTTAAGATGTCGATGAATTTCTCAATTTGTCTAGAGCATATTTCATTTTGCTTTCATATTCTCGACGCAATTTTCAAATTCTTTAAGGAAAAATTTTTGATGAAAAATACTTGATGGCTAATTGTACGGTGATTCTGCGCGTCTTGCACAAAACACCTGCAGAGATTAAAATGATCCTTTGACTAAGGCAAAAATTGAAAACTGCAGAATGCGTGGACGGAAGATTGAAATGTTCATACCCATTATTCAAAATGAATCAAATCCTCGCTGAGAAACAGATTGTGCTACGTACGAAAACGATAAGTTCAAAATGTGTATAGTCAGTTAAATGCATTGCTATACACTGTCACTTAAATTCGGGTTCGTTATAGTTAGTGTCTTGCGTTTAATTCCAAGCCGAAAGTTGATCGTAAAAAGAAGTGTATCCGCAATGATCATGCGAAAATTCATTCATTCCTTATTTGACAATACATGTTTGCAGTCGCTGTGATAGTGATTACTAAGTGAAGCCGTCGTTAAAAGAACACATCCCACCTCGAGCGGACTTGTAATACATAAATTTGACGAGTAAAAAAAGTATATATCGAAGGATACTTACACTCTGTTGGCGTATTCGAGACAAGCGAAGACCTTAACCGGCAGCAGATCAGCGCTGTCCTTAGCCTGGACGCGCTCGATGCAGAACTCCTCGGCCGGAATATTATGTTTCGCGACGATGATGCTGCCGTCGCTTTGGAGCTCGGAGAAGCGCGCCTCGCCAATTATCGTGAGATTGCCGTCGCAGCCACTTTTTGGCGAGCCGCTGATCATCTCCATAAAAGCCGCGACTTTGCCATTATTCTCGTTGCTGCCGAGAAGCAGGATCTGCTCGTCTTCGAGCGAGGCCTTGCCGCTCGTTTCTACGCAGGCGTTTCTGCGAGAATAAAAAATGACGGGTGTCAAGAAACGAATAATGTCACGAGCCGCGTTCAACAATTACAGCGTCGATGGAAAATTACGTTAAAAGCGTGAGAACGAAAAAACATTGTTAGCGAGCTCTAGCGCGAATTGCAGACGAGAGGAACGAAGGATTTGCGTTCGAAAAGTCAGCTGTTGCGCGCATCAGCTGATCGTTGGCGTCGCGCTCCGCAACTTATATAAAATAACGAGTCAACGAGCACAACAGTATGTAAGCAGCCGCAGCGAGATAGTTGGAAAAAGCACGCGAACGAAGCTCGAAATTCTTCGAAGGCACGTAGGCTTGCGCGGCACGGGGGCCCATTGTGTTACAGGTCGACGAGTAGAATGTACAGTTTCGTTTCCTATTGGCGCGCGCGCGAGCCGAGTACGAGGAGGCGCACTGCACGCACCCACACAAGTGCACTGCCACCGCTCGGCGGATACATAGGTATAAAGCATGTAATATACACGGACTTCCTTCGTGTAAGTACACGCGCGCGAGCGTCGTGCGATTTATTATAATGTCGTCGTCGTCGTCGCGGCCGTCAGAGGCGGCGGTTGCGTTACGCTTCGCGGAACAACACGACTTATATCTAGATACAGAGGTATGTGCACTGTAACGTATATATAGCCGCATAAACTCGAGTCACCTCTCGATATTGTAAACAGCCATCTCGCCGCAACACTTCCTGATCTTCTGCCTCATGGTGGCAGCGGCCTGCAGACTGTCGTTCCTGCGCGGCAGGCAGGCCAACAGCGTCCTCGAGCCGAGGCAGTAGTCCTCGGGCGACAGCGCCTCGTCGCTGCTGATCTCGATCCTCGCCGAACCGTCGGCGAACACGATGAACGGATTCAGCTGGTTGCGGGCGACGTAGCGCAACTCGTGCGGCTCCACGCAGGCCGGCCTCGTGTTCTCCAGGATCTGCCAGTGGGCCGGCGGCTCCGTGAGGAACTCCTCGTGCTCGGGCGAGTAGATCTCGGGCCGGAATTCCGAGTCGGGGCTCGGCACGCAGCGGAATCTCGTGGCCGCGGGGTCTCGCGGGTCCTCGAGGTCGTAGCCCGCACGACAGCATCGCCGGATCAGCAAGTGCTCCACGGGATTGGAATCGTTGACCTCGAGCGCGCCGCCACCTTCGAGCAGCCGGCTCGAGAGCAGCAGTATCAGCCAGGGCACGATCATTTCTTCCTTTGTCTCACGCACCGCAAAGTATTCGCAAAGAGTCGAAATTCACTGCACCGCACTTGTGCTACTAGAACTGATGTTTTTCCACGGACAAACTCATAACAACCGAAACAGCACAACGATGTATCACGATATACATGCACCAAAGCCGGATTCACTCGCGCTCGCAAAATACGTTGACGAACTCTCGAGAGCAGTTATTTACAATAGGCCGCACTGCGCGCGCGGAGAACGAGAAACTGCAGGCAAGAGCACGAAGAAGGAGAGGTAGAGTTGGCAGAGTAGAGTCGCGAGCGCTCGGCCGGTCGGAGCAGTACTGAAAATGCAACGGCGAGCGAGTCTGCACGAGAGGCAGCCGCTGCGGAGCCGACAAGTTGCTGCTACAGTCGCACACGCGGTCGGCTGCTTCCCTCGCCAAAATAATTGCGCGCGCAGCGCACAGCCGCGCTTATGCTTTTCTTCCGCCTGTGATTCTCTATACCTATATGTTTATGTATACAGTGCAGTATATATTCCTTCGTATATATACACAGACCCGTATAATCTCTCCCTCGCACGATTAGCTGTCTGCGTGAATACTCGGAGCGCGTAACACACCTTAGCCTTCGTTATTCGCGCCAACTGTAGCCATGATTTTCGATCGTTTTGTCGATTGCACCTTCCAATGGCTCTGCGCTTCCTTTTTGTTTTGCTGAAATTTTCGATTTTTGCGATTCTTTTGCGTTGCATATTTGGTCAGATCGAGTAGACGAGTGCAATTTTTTTTTAAATTTTACGACAGAACTCGAGTTCAAGAAAACTTGAATAAAATGATGCGATTAGCAATCGAGTTTTTGTTGATGTAAATGCGACGATTCAATCAATGAGTAAGCGTTATTATCGGACCTTTAATTTTAGTAAGCAATTAATGTTTTGTAAATCCGATTGTTTGCCACTGACTAAACTCTCTTGCTCCTTTTCTCTCTTTGAACTGTGGTCGTTACACTTTCAATATCCATACGGTATACAATTGATCGAACGAGAAGGCAAATATTTTTTGTTTCGTCGCTTCGATTTAATGACAGGATCACACGTACGAATAAACAAAGCTCGTTTGTGCCTATATAGTTGCCAACGAGCTGCATGTGTATGCTATAAGTGTCACTTTTTCCATTGTATTGCGTGTCGCGTTTATAGTCGCGCGCATACATCGCTCGACCAAAGCCATCGATTGTTGTAGGCGCATATATTTTCGAGTCGATCGCATTGTTTGATGCACGAGCTCGATGCGCGAGCCAGTAGACGAGCTCTCATTTCTTTTCTATGCTTCGTCACGCACGCACTCGGGCCGTCATCGTTGAGTTATTATAATAACGAAACTTATTCCCTCCGTACAGTAATTTGTCAATTAGTGTTTTGACACATTGTTGATCCATTTGGCAATTTGGCAATCGAATTAGCCAAACACATTATCAACAATACCATTTGTTTACAAATTTTATCATCCTTTAGACACAGTTTTTCCTGTCCGAGTATCAAAGTCCTCTGATAATGGATCGTCACAATCGCGTATATTTTATTATCTTTTAAACTTTAAATTCTTAAATGAAGTTTATTAGATGAAACTTAAATTAATATTACAATTTATTAATTAAATAGTATATACCAGAATGGTTAATGAGCATCTTTTGTTAGAAAACAAAGAAATTTATACTTAATCTAAGAGTGAAAAATGAATTTCCGCTTGCACGGATAATTATCGATATTATAATGTTAACAGAAAATCTCGTTCTCGATATGACATGCTAACGGTCTTGTACACTTCCTAAAATGAAATGTCATTTATTTAGCGGTTACAAATTCATAAATCAATTTTGACGTGGTCTCTGGCACTTTTTCTAAGGCCAGACTGAGCCACTCCTGATCGATATAATGTCACCCCTTGTGTACCAGTCATATTAAAGCGCGACAGTGTACACAGTTTGTGCATTATGTTCGATAATTTGATCCTGCACCGTATCGTGTCAATGCAAAAATCACCATAATTTCCATGAAAACCAAAACTGTAAATTGGTCAAAGCTTGCAATATTTTCGCATTTTAAAGCTAATTAACAATAACGTGACCATTTAAATTTTGTAAAGTATAAACGAAATTGCTTGCTACATTCGACTGGGAGTAAACTAGCAATCATCGAAATAGACCGTAGCTCCGAAATAAAGCAACTAAATATACATATAGGCACGAGTAGAGGAGGGCGAGGGTGCGCCCCAACACGGCAACAGCATGCGCTCAACGAGCCGTTATACTCGTGCCAAGTACAGTTTCTCCTTCAACACGCACTCATTTCCCTTTTATTTCTTAAAGATAACGTCGGGAGTTTCATCAGTGGCCATTATCAAAGCCGCCCCATCTATCTATATGTACTTCCACTCGTCTGTCGGTGCCTGCCGCACTACAGCACACGTTTGGGCGCGCACACACACACACATACACGCAAACGCCTAGAACCACCCCCTATGCCTTATTTTTGACTGCCTTTCCCCGCGCGGCCCGAATCCCCGTAGACGCGAAACGAAAAAAAGGCTATATCCAATTTCGCGTCCGAATGAACTTCCGCGCGCAGAAAGGCAAGTGCGCGTGCAAGCAAAGGAAGGGAAGACGAATTGCGTTTCTTCGCTTTGCGCGCTCCAAGTGCGCACACATCGAGAGAGAGAGAGAGAGAGAGAGAAAAAAAGGAAAATACCCCGTGTGACCTGTACACAGTCCGCACTGTGCAATACGCGCGTGCGTGCGATGACGCGGCAAATATCATTATTTCTCGCAGCACAAACTGTGATTATGAGCTGTGATGTATATTGGGTATAAAAGGGCCCTCCGGAACATGACAGGGGGTATATATAACTATACACGTAACGAGCGTCGATAGAATACTAAGATATTTAATGATGAATGCATGTGCGCACACACGCACACACTCACCTATTCGAGTCCTAGCTTTGTACGAAGTCGATCGAGGGAAAAAAGTGTACGGTTTATCCCCTGCGCGTCGACGAGGGATGTGTACTGCTGAACCGTTGGCTGTTTGCGAAGCAACAAGATGAAATACACTTGGAAAAAACTCCCATTCACCTTGACGCTGCTGCACAGCTTGGATCGACCGTTTGGCTAGTTTGATTCGTCTGGAATAGCAGTGAAGGAAAATGTTGTAGTTTGGTAAAGAGTTTTACGCGATGATTGTTTGCAAAGCACCGATAATTGTAAAACGTCTGTAGTTATTTTGGACATTTTAAATTAATTAATAAGTTTACCGTTTCAAAATAATAAGAAACGTCAAACACGATGAGCCTCAATAATAAATATTGATAGCTTCGTAAAAGTATTTGTCAATTCCTCACAATTCAGGCACATACTTTACTGAAACTTCCTACCAAGCTGAGGCATAAAAAAATTAAATTTCCAAAAGCTCCAAGGAGCCGTGATAGCGAGGGCTCGATGTGCACCACGTGTCTTTGTTGGAAACAAGGGATCGTCGCGCTTGGGCAAACACCACACCGCATCGACATCAAACTACCCGAGCCAGGTTCCGGCTCTGTGCGCGTCATATAGCATCAGTTCGCCTTTGCTACAGGAGGGTTCGCCTTTGCTGCAGAGCTACATGCGGCGAGGCTTTGATTGATCGTGATCACTTGCAGCCTATAGACCGACCTATTCATCTCGATACTAAATTTAATACCTTCACAAGGCTTAATTAAGAAAATTTTAATGAGGATGATATTAATGCTCCGATGTATATGTATATATCGACCAATTATTTGCGGAGGACTCGGCAACTCGGTACATCGAATACGAGCGCGCTGCGTCGGAAACTTTTTGGATCGTATTTCAGCCTTTATTGTTACAACAAAATACAATCGTAGCCGGGTAACGAGCTGAATCTTCGCTTAATAGTACCTGCTAAAACTTTGACGTGTGCACGCGCATAAATAACATCATTTTACTCATCACCATTAATCATAACGAATTCCGCGGGGTGCATTGAATCGTTTGTTGCGCGATACATGTAGGCAACGCACATGGCAACACGTAAATAATAAGTCAGAGAAATGCTCGATTCGATCTGTTGCAAGCCCATATGTATATATTATGCATCTACACGTGTACACGCATATGCACAGCTCATGTGTATGAAAAATCTTTGACGAGGGCAAAGCGCTGGACCATTTAAATATTTTTATATTGATCATAGTTCCTGGGGGATCGAACTACGGGAGGGTGCAAACTTATGTGTGTGAAAAAAAGAAGCCGTTTTTGCCTTTATGCTTTACCCCCAGCCTGCAGCTGGCAATGTCATTACATTATTATTAATATACGAGTACACGAAAGGTCTCAAATAACGGGAAATTCCTATGTCTTTTACGCAACGCCTGTCTTATACTTTCAACGTTTCACAGAGTTATTTTGACTCATTTAAATAGTTATTTTATGCAGACTGTGTGACAAACATAAATTTCGCAAATTTGATCTGTTTTGAAGCAAGTTGAATGTAAAATCCGGCAAACTAAGGAATTACTCGTTCGTTTGAGTTATACGCGTGTGGAAAATCAAAGCACGAGAAATTATCGCGACGCGCAATGCTCGAGAGAAAACTTTTATGACTCCAAAGCCACGAGGTACTGGTTTAGCAAACATAAAAACATAGTTAGATATTCGGCAACTGAATGGTAAACACGTATAAATTTGAGAAAAGAAAAAGTGAGGGTCGACAGGATCCCATATGATTGCCGACTAACATCTATGTCAAGCGGATCCCGCCGGATGTGTTTTTTCTCAGCTGTGTATATGCAAAAATAAAACTTACTCGAGTTTAAAATAAAATAAGGTTGTCAACAAACAATTTTAAATCGTTCCGATGTTGAAATTTTCTTACTCGATAAAATATTAAACGAGTGATTTTAAAAATTACTTTTGTGAGTGGCACAAAGGAAAAAAGTTGACGTGCAATTTTCATATTTTCAACAATACCCATCTCTTAATTACTAATTTTTACATTTTAAAAGTAAATTTAATTTTGAGCGTGATAATTATAACTACAACAAAGCTTGGTTTAGATCAAACGCATGGAAAATTATAAAGTAAAAAATTAAAATTTTTCTTTCGTATTCTTGTGAAAAATTTTAAAGCAGAGCGTACTAATTGGAAAAATGACAAGTGACTTCTTTAAAAGCTGATTTGGATTTGAAGCAGGTATTTTATCAAGTAATTTGAAAAATATACCATTTTTTAAATTAGGTAGCACATTTTATAATTTTAATTTGTT